AAAAGTGATTAGTCACCAATTAAGCCCTCCAAATTAGCCACCTCATGCTTGCTTAATTTCTACCTTGGACAACTTGAAAAACACATACGGCTTATAACTTAAAATGGGGCAAAAATCCATTTAATTGGTACGGTTTTAATCATGTTTACTGATTAATTATTCCTTAATCATCACTTTAATGCTTAATTAACTATTAAGCATAATACCTAATTACCAAAATTATCCCGAACGTAAACGGTACGTCAAAAATAATTTTGGGTAATTTCGACTGAAAATAATTAATTCGAACTATAATCATTTCGAATTCTTGACTTGGACGATTAATCTGAATATCAATATTTCGAATAATTCTTCAACTTAACTTATTAATTCCGAACTCATTAATTAATAAACGAATCAGAATTAAATCTAGAAACTTATTCGGTTACTGAAATAATTAAACTGGATAATTTATCGACTAATAGTCGAACTTGGAATATAACCAGCTGATTAACTCGAACCTGAATGGGAACATGATTATTTATTAACAAAGTCTAGCTTAAAACTAAAAGCTAGTATTTTCCTTTATTAATAAAATACGGGGCGTTACAATCCACCCCCCTTAAAATATTTCCGTCCTCGGAAATACTAAAACTGAATATATAAGCTTAACTCGAAGCTTATACTTACATATTACATGACTTAAGAATTCAGTACTTTAATCTGAATACTGGATTTGATCTGAACTGAAGAATCATCAATTCACAATTAAGTGAATTGTTAGATACTATTTACTGAGAATGGACACTTTCCTGAATGAAAGTGTTCCACTGATTATACCTGATATTAAAAAACATACTTCTTGAGCGTACTGGTCCTTATCTCCTGGCTTGACTGCTGATCCTCGGTCTGAACGTGGGTTGTGGAAAAACTCCCGTCGTTGGTACACTCAGAAACTCCAGAGATACGCACATGTACCAATGAGGATAACTAGCAATATCGGTCATTACCTTTCGTGAACATCTACTCTATAACGCGGCACATCATTCGCGGCACATTGTAATGCGGCACACCTGCTCCTCATCAAGTGAGTGCGGCACGCCTGCATACAGCACCTGGCGAACATTGCACCTGCATCATTGACGTAGTCTGTATAACTGATCCTGTCTATACTTCAAGCTAGTAACCTCAATGTACTATAATGCTAACTCTCTGTGATTTCCCAGTGTACTGTGACTCAGGCATAGCATCCTTCTCTTCATGCGTTTTTGAATGGAAAGCTCCGGTTACGGTATTAGTTGTTGTTGTTGATTGATCTTCTCCGTCGTGTCGTATGTCGACATGCTGTACCTGCAACTGTCTACCTTCCCTGAGGCCAAACTTAACCTCAAGAGAAGTTTATCATGAACTAATCTTTCCTGCGATTTCTCAAATTTTCTAAATTTGAGAATCGAGGCACTGGACATACTTGAATTGATTGATAAGTCTTATCTTGTTAGACTTTTACATGACTAAGTCATCTTTGCCTGAACTCTGAAAGCTATCCCAAGATAAAAAAATAGTTATCTCGGAATTTGGAACATGACATTTACTGATTTACTTAACTTGATAAGGTGCGACTTCAAGTTTCCAGGTAAAATTGGATTAATAGTCTGTATTGTAGACCTCCATATTTAACCCGGCTGAACAACTATTATACGTCGACCTTAAATCATGAACATTAACTTTAAACCTTGAACATTGACTCATGACTATGTACTGTATAGGGCTGCTCCAGTATCAACTGGTCCCGCAAGTACAAAGGAATTAGCTGATCTTGATCTTTGAAAATCATAACTTGAAGTATCCTAACTGAAAAATACATGACATGACTGACTTTAAAGGTTGTGATTACATGAAATCATACTGCTCCGGCCCCAGCTTCAAGCCTCCATGGTATACCCGGCTGAGTGGCTCTTATTTCAAGCCTCCATGGTAACCCGGACTATTGACTCTTTATACACTGGAAACCGTTACTTTAACAATGGCTTGAAAAATATAACAACCTTTAACATGAAAATTTTCCGCTTTGCACATGATTTACTGATCTGACTTAAGAAATTTGAGTTTATTCCTCGAATTGAATCAAGGAATTCCTCCCTGAAGTTTGCCAATTGATTGGCAAAATGGCAATTTTCGATAGACAATATCTGAGGAACATGATTGCTAAGATTTGTACAACATAAGTGCTTACAAATCTCTTGACGGGTCATTAACTTGACTTGAATAAATCTAGAATTTAATCTAGAGTTCTCAAACTTAGCCCCTTTCTAAGGTTCTGAATTTTAATTCGAACATCCTTACTGATGACTTTATTGAAGCTGATCAACAAAGCACACAAATTTTGACGAGTTGCTAAACATGACTGGGGAATACTGACTCTAAATTCTGAGTATACTGATTACTGATCCTGAACATGATTCGAGCATCTTAACTAGTCATAACTGAGGTATTTCTGAGCATAGACAAAGTAATATGTTTATAACTGAAAACATAAATCAGCACTTACCTGTAGTCGGCGAGGCGTGAGCATGACGGTTCAGGTTTTCTGAAAATATCTGACTCGTAAAAATTTTCAGAGACCCAGAAACGTGCTCTGATACCAATTGTAACACCCCGCTATTTTACTGAAATCAGAGTACGCATTTTTCGCAAATTTTCTGAATAATTTAATAAAATATTACTTTTTGCAAAATCTGGTTCGGAGTTTTACCGTGAAAATCTGACTTTTATCTGAAAACCGTTAATATTAAACTTGTTGACATCGTTTTCAGTAAACCGAGTTAAGCAACACTGATCAGGTGATTATGCTCAGTAGGAGGAAGATTATGTTCGTACAAGTGGAGGACATCTTCAAGGATCCAGAAACAGTCACATATCAGGTGAAAATTGATCAAGAACCGACATCTTCATCAACTGACCGGTATCTTGTATCGGTTATGACATGTCGATTACAACATGCCGGATATGACATATAGGTTATAACTACACAAGCCGATATCTGTGACTTGCTAAGCCGACACCATGAGGTGGTGCCAACTCAGCACAACTCATCATTACGCCTGGCCAAGTGACACGTTACCAAGATGAATGGCAATCAGCCACCGTTGACTATTCTCATGTAATGATTATGTTGCTGATAAGTATTGTAAGTTAAAATATAAAAGGGAAAAATAGATTCTCCAGAGACACAGAAGAAAACATACAATAATATCCAATAAATTTTCCTTTTCGATTATCACGTTTTGAATCTTTTTCTCTTGAACACTCAACGTGTTTTGTATTATATTATCGTTGTTAATTACCATACAACAACAGTTTGGTGCTAGAAGGAGGGCCTCATCACGTTTTGAGGTTAACTTTCGCTGTTATAGCCATTTCCGCGCTTGAAGTCACCATGTCGCAATCTGGTCGAGATCATACAGCTCATCCTGGCCAGAGCCAATCGACTAATCATTCCCCACGGCGTTCAACACCACCTCCTCCAGTCACTAATATCACAAACTTCTTTCCAAACCCAGAGTTTATTCAAGGTTTAACCTCTCTTATAGCTCGAGCCATGCCCAGAAACTCGAGTACTGTACAATTATCAACGTCGTTTCCAACGAATCCAACGGAACATCCAGATACTACTCATCGTAACCTTGAAACGCACGCAGCAACATCGCATGCTACGTCACAACTACACCATGCTTCTCCCCGTCGAGAGGAGTTAACTCGTATAACCGCAAATCCAGTAGTGAACAACCAGGCTGCGGAGCAACCCCCTGTTCAAGAGATGACTGTTGAAAGCCACTCCCGCCCATCGTCAAAGGATACCGTCGCGCCCTAGACCTACCTCATTGGTGCCTCGTGATCGTGAAGATTTACGACGTTAGATTGAACGGAATCGCAAGTCAAGACATAGTGCTGAAGAAATCGAGGTTCTCCGTAAAAGATTGGCCGAAATTGAGACTCGACAGAAGTCACAAGAAGATTCTCCTCGACATGTCTCGACGTCGGGAAATGTCATCATTGAAGCTGACTCGTCTTTAGCTCCAGAGATTACTGCGGAGGCGCTCCCTGCTAAGGTAAAGATCCCACAAATTGGCATGTGTGACGGAACTTCGGATCCAGACGCGCACTTGGGTCATTACACATGATGGATGGACTTGCACGGAGCCTCGGATGCTTTGAGATGTCGGATGTGTTCCCTCACACTGGGGCCGCGGGCACAAAACTGGTATTATACTCTTCCACCTCATTCAATTTGGAAGTGGCAACAATTGCATGCATCTTTCCGATCACATTTTATCGGGGCTCAAGTTTGCCTTATCCCAAAAGAATCAATCACTAATATTGTGCAAAAGGATGATGAAATTGTGAAGGACTACTTATCTCGGTTCAATGACCGTATTCAGAACATGGAGCCCTGTCACCCTGAGACCCTACTAGTGACTGCAATTGTCGGGTTGAGGCCCAATTCGATGTTTCGCTGGACCTTATGTCAAAACAAGCCGGCGACCTTTCAAGAATTCCTCGTACGAGCCCAACAATTCATTATCGCCGAAGAGTCGATGTCAGTTCCTAGTTTCGACTTCTCGGTGAAGGAGAACAAGGCTGAGTCGGATGTAAAAAAGAAGAATAAAATGAATTTTGGGAGAGCACAATATCGGAATTACTCAAAAGGGAATGAAGATACTCCGGAATCCAGGGCTGCCCGAGACCAATATGCCGACAACGTGAGGACAGGTTATCAAACCGTTTATTCGGCCGGAGCGGCTACCATTTTCGAGGAACTGAAAGGAAAGGGGATTATTCCTGATCCAAAACCGGTGAGAACATCTGAAGACAAGCTGGACAAATCTCGATACTGTGCCTACCATAAATCTCCGGGACACAATACCGATGAATGTCTCGGCCTCTTGTCGGCCCTTTTACGTTTGATTGGTCAACCTCAGCTTCAAAAGTTCAGAAATTTTGACAATCGCTGGAAAGGAAGGCCCGCGGATCTTTCTGATGAGGAGGAAGATGATAATCGACCCGCCAACCCGAAAAGAGCTCGTGCGAACGATAAAGAAGTCTTTACGTTTTCTACCCTTGTCGATACTCCGACTGACAATTGCAAAAAACTCAAAACACGTGATGCATCAAACAGTTGATGCATACCTCGAGTTAACTCTAATACCAAACAGTTGGACACTTCTCGGCGAAAAGCTAAAGCCTATGCCAGGGAAGCCCAGAATGCCGAGAAACGAGTCATGAACATTGATCTTCGAGACACCATTAATAAGCGAAATTGTCCCATCACGTTTAGTATTGAGGACGCCAATCTGTTTGCTCACCCCCACTTTGATGCCCTTATCATTACTGCTCCGATTGGAGGAATTCCCGTTCACCGAATTATGGTCGATACAGGAGCTTATTCAAGTATCTTAATGTTCTGCACTTTCAAGAAACTGGGTTTGGACCCTGCAGATATCAGACCTTGTAACGACCAAATTCAGGGCTTCAATGGAAGTATTTCTTGCCCTATCGGTGAAATAATGAACCCTATACGATTTGGTGGCTTTGGACCAAGATCCAAGATCATTATGGAAACCTTCAAAGTTTTGGATGTTCAAAATGAGTACAATGCTGTTGTGGGATGAACTGCTCTTTACAAGCTCCGCGCTGCTGTGTCAATTTTTCACTATGCCCTAAAGTTCCCCACCATTGAAGGGGAAGGCACTCACTATGGAGATCAGCGCGAGGCGCGAAGTCTGACGTTGCTCTCAACTTCACGAAATCTTCATGTGTGCGAAGTACGAGAGACTGATAGTTCCGATGAGTCGAAAGATTCAGTCCTTTCTGACCCCACAATGACGGGTCAATCAGCTTCAAATACCGACATCTCCTCTGTTCCTGATACCGACGTCATTGAGATTTCGGATCTGCCTGAAACCTCAGATGGTGCCCTTGACCAAAGAAAATCCCTTTCTGCGGAAGATATGCAAGCTCACGAAGATATAGATCTAAGGATACAATTCAAAGATAAGAGTCATCACATTCGGGCGGAGACAGTTGAAGATGTCGAAATTATTTACGTGGATGAACTAACTCAAGAAAAATCATTGCGCATTGGGGCTAGTCTTCAAGAACCCATACGTTCTCATTTAATTCAATTTCTTCGGTCAAATTCCGATGTGTTTGCTTGGAAACATGAAGATATGAAGGGAATAGACCTGCAGAAGGCTTGTCACCGGTTGAATTTGGATAAGATCGTCAAGCCCATCATACAAAAACGTCGAAAATTCGGCCCAGATAGCCAGAAAGATCTTGAAGAGGAAGTGAACAAACTTATAGACAACAAGTTCGTTAAAGAAGCAAAATATCCGACGTGGATATCGAATCCCGTCTTGGTGAAGAAAGCTACCGGTCTGTGGCGTTTATGCATTGACTTCTCAGATTTGAACCAAGCATGTCCGAAAGATAGTTATCCAATTCCACATATCGATTACATGGTAGACGCCACAGCGGGTAATCAACTCATGAGTTTTTTGGATGCCTATTCTGGTTACAATCAAATCCCCATGCAACCCGACGATGCTGAACACACTTCGTTTTATTCAGCTCGAGGTCTTTATTGTTATGTCATGATGACTTTCGGATTGAAGAACGCTGGGGCCACGTATCAAAGGTTGGTCAATAAAATGTTCGCTCCCTTGATCGGTCATACAATGGAAGTCTACGCAGACGACATGTTGGTGAATTCGGAACAAGCTTCCGATCATGTTGCTCATCTTTCTGAAGTCTTTGACATCCTTCGAGAATATTCTATGGTGCTTAATCCCAAGAAATGCACCATCGGGGTTGGGTCAGGAAAATTTCTAGGGTACATGGTGAGCCAGAGAGGAATTGAAGCTAATCCCGCCAAGATCCAAGCCATACTAGATTTGACTCCTCCGACATCCATCAAAGGAGTTAAAGCTTTAATCGGTCGACTAGCTGCTTTAAATCGATTCATTTCGAAGTCGACGGATCATTGTAAGCCTTTCTTTGACGCTATCAAAAAGAAGAAGCCGTTTGAATGGACAATGGAATGTCAGAATGCTTTTGATAACATTAAACAAGTCCTTTCACGTTTACCGACATTGCAAAAACCTCTCCCCGATGAACCTCTATATTTGTACCTGGGAGTAAGTGACGTTGCAGTTAGCGCTGTTCTTATACGACAAGATGGACTTCAGCAGTTTCCGATATATTATGTTAGCAAGGCTTTACATGACGCTGAATTTCGATATCCGTATATGGAAAAGTTGGCCTTTGCTTTGATCATTGCTGCACGGAAGTTGCGGCCATATTTTTTGGAACATTTTGTTGTTGTGTTCACATCATATCCTCTCCGACAAGTTCTCCACCGACCTGACATGTCGGGAAGGATGGTCAAATGGGCTATAGAGCTCGGACAGTTTGACATTCAGTATCGTCCTCGAACTGCCATCAAAGCCCAAGTGTTATCCGACTTCATAGTAGAGTTCACCCCGTCTATCAGCACATCGATTCAGGATTCAACGTGGACTCTCTACGTCGACGGATCGTCCACTGCACTACGAGCTGGAGGAGGAATCGTTTTAGTCAGTCCTGATCAACAAACGTTTTGTTACTCTGTAGCATTTACTTTCCCAGTTACTAACAATGAAGCCTAGTATGAAGCTCTCTTATCAGGCCTACACTTTGCTGAATCCATGAATGTTTCCTCCCTCCGCGTATTTTCCGACTCTCAGTTGTTGGTTAGCCACATCAATGGTACCTATGAAGTCAAGGAACCACGATTGCTGCCTTATTTCGATCTTGTCAAGAAGAAGTTATCGCGATTCAAAATGACGTTGGAACATATACCTCGGTCATCAAACATTCAAGCAGATGCTCTCTCGCGTTTGGCCTCTTCAACCGATTTGAATAATGTCGAATTCGTGCAAATTACCCAACAGACGACTTCTTCAACAGTCTCTACCGACGTCGCTATGATCAGGGCCGCTTCACCAATTCCAAGTTCGACTTGGATGGATCCAATTATCAACTACCTTCAGACCGGGGCCGTGCCTGGAGACCCAAACGAAGCTCGCACCCTTCGTGTTCGTGCCGCTCATTTCACAATTGATCAAGGAATATTATACAAGCGTGGATATTCCATTCCATTGCTCAAGTGCTTGTCGGAAACTGACGCTCGACGTATTCTTCAAGAAGTACATGAAGGCGTCTGCGGTACTCATCAAGGAGCACAAGCTTTGTCTCACAAGATTCTCCGACAAGGTTACTACTGGCCGATTGTTAAGAAAGATGCCGCCGACTGGGTGCGAAGATGTCACAAGTGTCAGATATTTGCTCCCAATGTTAACCAACATCCTGAATCCCTCAAGTCAATATACAGCCCATGGCCATTCGCAAAATGGGGGATTGATTTAATTAGTCCGCTTCCGACAGCCAAAGGAGGTATTCGCTTTGCAATATTGGCTGCCGACTATTTCACCAAATGGGTAGAGGCTGAAACTCTTGCAACCATCACTGAACAAAAAATGATTGATTTTGTCTGGAAGTCCATCGTTTGTCGGTTTGGGATACCGAATTCTATTATAACCGACAACGGCCGTCAGTTCGAAGGGAAAAAATTTGAAGACTTCTGTGAAGACTATGGTATCAAGCATTTCTTCTCGTCACCATATCACCCACAAAAGATCATCAAGAACGGCTTGAATACTCGATTAGAGACCGCAAAAGGATCTTGGCCCGATGAACTAGCCCATATCCTTTGGGCCTATCGGACAACAACGCGAAGCTCAACTGGAGAAATCCTATTTTCATTAGCATACGTAACTGAAGCTGTGATACCTGTTTAACTTACTTCTCCCACATATCGGACTACTCATTTTTCCGAGGAAACCAATTCAGCAAACCTAAGAACCAATATCGATATGGTTGATGAACTACGGACCGACTCTGAAATTCGAAATGCTGCTTACAAACGACGTAGTGAGAAGTATATAAATTCAAAGTTCAAGTCACGTTCGTTCGTCGTGGGAAACCTCGTGTTGAAAAGAATAACCGGGGCCAATGTCGGTCCGTTGCAACCGAAGTGGGAAGGACCCTTTAAAATGAACCACCTGATTTATAATGGTACCTACCGACTTGAGACTCTAGATGGTGTTCCCCTTCAGTACCCTTGGCATGCGACTTATCTGAAGAAGTACTATTAGTAAACCTGAAGGCTAGACCCTTGTCTCCGATGTATGAAAGTCTTTTGTCCTACCCATGTACAAGAATCGCATTTTGTTGTCAATAAAGTTTATGTGACGAACCACTATAATGTGTTCGATCACTCGGACCACAATAAATCGGTCCTTATCACTAAAGCTAAACGTGTTTCATACCCTGAAGATGGTATGACCTGGCCAAACGCGCCAAAGCCGGATACTTCCAAGCCCTGAAGATGGTTTGGGGAGGCTTAAGCTCTATTGTTTCAAATCCCGACGTTGATTTGATGAGCTTGCAATAAATGATTACAATAAAAGCAAGTTGATAATGACTTGTTCTAGTAAAGAGTTTACAAATGTCGGATATGCTATAAATTATACCGACATCAAAAATTTAAACAAACTCGTGAGAAAGTAAAGCATAAATGCCAAGTAGCACGTCGGAGTAATCACAAGCGTGATCTGCTAAGCATTCATTTATCTCTACTCCGACATGTTTTGACTTGTTACAATAAATATGTCAAGACTATACATTCATAAGACAAAATCATTAAACATTGAGTTTCATTCATAACAAAATATTGTCATTACATCCGATAAAAGAAAACAAAAAACAAATGACAGATATCAAATTTCATTCATCTGTTTTCGTCCCTGAAGACGACGCTCCTCCGGCTGTGG